CACCCATGTAGGAGTCCCAGATGGAGTTCCAGGCTCCTGGGTTTGCCATGGCCCAGCCTTGGTCATCGCTGCCATTTGGGGAGTAAACCAGTTGATGACAGATCTCTCTGTCTCTGCGTCCATCTGTCTGTCTGTCTGTCTCTCGGTATCCTTCTCTCTGATGCTCTGCCTTTCAAATAAATTTTTAAAGATTGATTTGTTTATTTGAAAACAGAATTAGAGAGAAGGGGAGAGAGAGGAGGGAGAGAGGGGAGAGAAGAAGACAGAGAGGGCGAGAAGAGGAGAGAGAGAAAGATACCTTGCATCCACTGGTTCACTCCCTAAATGGCTGCGACAGCTGGGGCTGGGCCATGCTGAAGACAGGAGCTAGGCGCTTCAATCAGGTCTCCCACCTGGGTGGCAGGGGCCCAAGGACTTGGGCCATCTTCTATTGCTTTCCCAGGTGCATTGGCAGGTAGCTGGATTGGAAGAAGAGCAGCCAGGACTTGAACTGGAGCCCTTATGAGATGCCAACACTGCAGGCAGAGGCTTAACTTTCTATGCCATAGCACTGGCCCCTAAATAAATCAAAAAAATATTTAGCATATGCATGTCAGTTTCTCCTTTGCCACAGAAGTGGCAGCATGCCACCCAACTGCTTTCCTGCTCTGTGCTGGTGATGGATCTGCTTAGGTGCCCTTCCAGCTGCCCCGTTCCTCTTCACAGCTGGATGGTACAACAACTCATTGCCTAGTGGTAGATGTCTAGGCAGTTTCCAATCCCTTGCTACTATAGCAATGGACACATACCCTTATATGCCTATCACTTGGCACATGGGTAAACGTATCTGTAGGAAAAACACCAAAGAATAGAATTGCTAGCTGAAAGGGTGTGCAAACTTAAGATTTTGATAGTTACTACCCAGTTGCCCTCTAAAACGTTGTGCCGATTCATACCCCCATACTGTATGAGCAGGCCTTTTCCCTCAAACCCTTCCCAAAGTAGCCTGCTGGGTGACAGAAAGGGGGGGAAAGGTTAAAAGGTTTCTCAGTAGAGCTTACACACGCATTGCACTTACCAAGCCTGCAGTGAACACTGCTTCCCTGGGAACGGTCCCCAATGCATGCCTGTCCTTCCATGATGTCTTTGGTCTTTTCCTTGCTGTACTGCGGGAGCTCTTTAGGAAAGGAGCCCATTGTGACGTGGGTAGAAATATTTTTTCCCAGTGTGCCCCAAGTTATCCTTTTTAAAAACTTATCAGTAGGAGAGATGTACTTCTCATAGCTCTGGAGCCCGAGGCGCTGGGGGCTGTGGTGTCTGCTAGGGGCCCCTCTGCTTCCACGACAGGGCCTTCCCACATCCCCACGGGGAACGCTGCCCTTGTATTCTGCTTACTTTATTTTGCCGAGAAAAAATGGTGTACAATTATGTAAACGCATTTCTCAATCTTGTCTCTTAAGACTTTTGAGGTGCGTGAGCTTCCACACAGGCCTCCTCCACGCCAAGATTATAAATATAATTGCTCAAGTCTTTCTCCATTTTTGTGGTTTTATTTTTTTAATTTTTTTTTTTTGCATTCAAATCTTTGAATCATCTGGAAGTCATTTTCACATAGCGGTGAGATCCAATCGCATCTTTTCCAGCTGGCAACCCAGCTGTCCCAACACCATTTGCTGAACGATCCATCCCTCCTCCGAAGATAGGGAAAGCCACCTTGAATATCAAACATCTATTTCTAAACCTAGCTTACGCACCTTCTGTGGCATCAGTACTGTTGCCCCGCGGTCTGTTTTCCTACCCATCTTTGGAAAGACAGTTGTCCCCTGGGTGGGGAACTGGTTCCAGGCCACCCTGAGGATCCCAATTGCACAGACGCTCCGGTGCCTTTTACAAAATGGGGTGGTGTTTGTGTAGAAACTACAAGCATCCTCCTCATACTAAAATCAGATACCCAAGACAGTGTAAATGTTTTGTACATGGTTGCTATACTACATCGTTTAGGGAATCATGTCATGAAAACAGACACACAGGAGCCAGGGATACAGAGGGCGGGTGGAGACGGACTGCGCCACTCTGAATCTGAGCGCACAGGCCGGCGCCTCCAGGGAGTGTTCTTCCACCAGGACCACTGAACCCTCAAAACCAAGCCTGTTCTCCTACAATACCTCTTCTAGAACAGGCTCTGCACTTTCCCGGCTTTCCCTTCTTCTAAGCCTCCCACTGACTCAGGAGGTGGTAAGAGGGCGAGCAGCCAGCTGTCTCAAGTCCTGGCCCAGGGACATCCCCTAGGGATGGGCTTTCCTCCAGCAAGAGGAAGCCCCCCAGCCTCCATTTGCACCTGGGGAACGATCTCACCCCTGCTAACTAATATGAACAACAGTGTCCGTGACCTCAGGCTACCCAATAACCCAGCACTGAAGTTCCACACGTGGCAGATGCTGGCAGAACACACCAGGGCCCCCACCTTACCCTCTCATCTATAACCTCTCTCTGTTATCACCTTCATCTCAGCCGAGAGAGACACAGGGGTCTGTCTGTCGCAAGGACAACTCCACTGAATTTGCCATGTGCTAACTCCCAATCTATCCTCCAGCCCTGCCCCCTCCACCCTCTTTCATGACTGACAGGTCACTGTCAACAGTCAGGGAGGTAAAACCTACAGACCTGTTCCTCATTCTGTTTGCCCACTGCACTTCAAGACACCATCAACAACCCAAGTCAGAAACAAAGGACCTATGCCTAACAGGAGGTCCTGACACTCACTGCTGTAACTCTTGCCTAGCTTGGAGGAGCCCCAGTTTGCCTGGAGAGATTAGAATTTGTTAGAGAAAGGTGCAGAGGCAGCAGCTTATGACCAAAGAGGCCAGACTGATGCCTTGAAAGATTTCCTGGGCCAGTGCTGTGGCACAGTAGTGTAAGTAGTGCAAGCCTTCACCTGTAGTGCCGGCATCCCATATGGTTCGAGTCCCGGCTGCTCCTCTTTCGATCAAGCTCTCTGCTGTGGCCTGGGAAAGCAGTAGAAGATGGCCCAAATGCTTGGGCCCCTGCACCCGTGTGGGAGACACAGAAGAAGCTCCTGGCTCCTGGCTTAGGATTGGCCCAGCTAAGGCCATTGCGGATATTTGGGGAGTGAACCAGTGGGTGGAAGACCTTTCTCTCTGTCTCTCCCTCTCTGTCTGTAACTCTGCCTCTCAAATAAATAAAATCTTTAAGAAAAGAAAGATTTCCCAAAGTCTTTTCACCCTATTTAGCACATCAAAGATATAACATGAGGTTGGATAAAGAAGAATAAAATCATAGCCCACCCTTTCGGGTCCTGAAAATGATGGGAAAACAAAGAAAAAGCACGAGAATGAAGCCCCAGATCAGTGGCATGCTCTGCGTGTCCTGGAAGCATCAGAGGGAAGATGGGAGCCAGGAGAGTGGGGTGGGGGTAGGGGTCCCAGGCCTGACGTCCCCATGGGCAGGGCTTCTGAGACTGGCTTGGCCACAGGTGAATTTGGTCCTCTGCAAGAAAGAAAACCCTAAAATTGGGGCTGGTGCTGTGGCATAGTGGGTCAAGCCACTCCTGCAGTGCCAGCATCCCATATGGGCACCAGTTCCAGTCCCAGCTGCTCCACTTCCTATCCAGCTCTCTGCTGTGGCCTGGGAAAGCAGTTGAAGATGGCCCAAGTCCTTGGGCCCCTGCACCTGCATGGGAGATCTGGAGGAAGCTCCTGGCTCCTGGCTTCTGATCAGCCCAGCTCTGGCTATTTGGGGAGTGAACTAGTAACTCTTTCAAATAAATAAATCTAAAATAAAATAAAAAAAACCCTTAAATCTAGCTTTGCAGAACAGATTTGGGTTCCTGTGTGGCACTGAGCAAAAGGAAGCCCCTCTCCCCCCTCAACTGGGGGGTTGGGGCTGGAGGGAAGTCTGCAGTTTAGATAAAATTATTACATTTTCTCTGAACATCTCGGCAGCAGTATGGACTGAAGGCCTCTCCTGCTCCTTTCGCCCCACACGGAATCAAGCACCCACTAACCCTCCCACCCCATCACCTTTCCTTCTTTAGTTCACACGGATCCCAGTCTCGCCTGCGCGCGACCCTCGCTGCCTTCTGCGGAAGCATTGCAGGGCGGCTGTCCCTCATCTCCCCCCGCAGCCCCCAGGAGACACTTTCCTACCACACCAAGTGGCTTCCCCGGTCAAACGTGAGCGGCCCCTTCAGCCCCTGCTCCCCTGGCCAAGTCTCCCGCCTCATCCCTCGCCACTCGGAGCTGGCGGCCGTCCGCGGGTCTCCGCTCTGCCCCCATTCCCTCGTCTCAGCGACTGCTGTCCCCCGGCTCAGACACCAAGACCCCGTCCTCTCACCGCCTCAGGGGTCCTCCTGAGGGTGGCAGTCACAGCCACACCCTGGCTCACCGTCTCACCATTCCCAGCCTGTCTTCTACAAGGACCTCCCCAGCAGACCCATCTCAGAATCCTCCCCATTCTCCAAGGTGCATTTCAAACGCCGCGTGGAACCCCACTCCCCACCTCCCCACCCGCGCCTTCCAAAGTCCCCACACCCTGGAACGCTGCACGCTGCCTCGCGCTCTGCCTTGCTTTAGCGCCCCCTTTCCCCATCACCCCCACCCCACCCAGACCACACAGGCTCAGGGATGCCTGCAGAGTTCCCCCTCACAACTTCCGGAGGCCTCCACTGCAAAAGACCATAAACGTTAGCAGTAAAAGGTCACCTGGCTTGTCCCTGCGGAGCCCACTTAACCGTGTGTACCTGGCAAAGAGCAGGTGCTCCAGAGGTATCTGCTGCGCTTGAAAGAACGCAGGGGTCAGTACGCGGGAGATTCCTTCGTTGAAGGTGCGTGGCCTCCCAGCAGGTCCACTCGCTCCCCTGCTCTGGTCCCGCCCCGCAACGCCCCGCACACCTGGCCCCGCCCGGCCCCGCCCCGTCCAGCTCCGCCTCGCTCGCGCTCTCCCCGCCCCATTTACCCCGCGTCGCCCCGCCCGGCCGGCCGCGCCCTGCTCCTCCGGCTCACCTGTAGGCCCAGGGCGACACGCTGCGCAGGTTGGTGGGCGTCCGGAAGCGGCGGTCGGCGGGCCTGCCCCCTGCTGGGCAGCTCGCGTTGCGCGCCTGCTCGCGCGGCCCCAGCTGCAGCGTGTGGTGGAAGGCGCTGAGCACCCCGGCCGCCAGCCGCCCGTACAGCTGCTCCAGGAGCTCCTCGGGCCGGTCCGCGCAGCCCCGCGGCCGCGCCGGGCGCCTGCCACTCCTCGGCGCGCCCGCCGCCCGGCCCGGCGGCAGCGCCAGCAGGAAGCCGGCCACGAGCATCCAGACCTGCGGGACAGGCCGCGCTCAGCGCCCGCGCGCCAGCGGAGCCCGCCCGCGCCCCCACGCCCCGCGCCAGCACCCCAGCCCGGCGGGGCGTCTCCCGTCGCAGCGCAGACCGTGAGGCCGGCCCGGAGGATGGGTGCCGCGCGGACCGGCCCCCGCGCGCCCTCCCCGCCTGCCCGCCGCCCGCGGGGGCCCCGGGGGCCCGCCCGGCGCCGGCCCGCGCGCCCCCGACCCCCGCCGCCGCCGCCGCCCCGAGCAGGGGCCGGCGCGGGGGGCGGGTGCGGGGCGCGCGTGCACGTGTGCGTGTGCCTGCCGGGCTGCTGCGCGGCGGGCTGCGAGTGCCTGTGACGCCGCCGGCCGCTCACCTCCGGGCGCGCCATGCCTGCCTGCGCCGGCCGCCGTCTCGCGAGGGGAGCCCGCCGCCGCCTCTCAGACTCACGCCCCCCGCCCTGGCTGCCCGCCCGCCCCCACCCCGCCGCCGGACCCCGCCAGCCGCCACCCCGGCGTCGGCTGCCGGGCCGAGGGCGCGGGGCCGGGCTGGCGACCCGGGCAGCCGACGTTGCGTGGGAAACCTCCGGCGTCGTCTCCTGTGCGCGGCTGCCGCCCGGGGTCGCAGGCGCCGGGCGGCTCTGCACCCTCTGCCTCCGGGAGTGCGGAACGCTGTGTCCCCCGTGACGCGGACTCACCAGGGCGCCCAGCATCTCCCCGCCGGACGACGCCCTCCGCCGTGCCCAGAGAGATGGCGTCCGGCCGCCGCGCGCTGGCTGAGGCGTCGGAGTCTGCCCTGAGCGCGGGGCCGAGCCGCGCCGCGCGGGAGGAGAGGCCCGTCTGGCTCAGCCCCGCGCGCTGCTGTGGTCCTGACTGGCCCCAGAGGGAGGTGGGAAGCGGCCGAGGAGACTCGAGAGAGGAAGAGTGAGGCCCGCAGAGTGAAGTCACGGGAGGCGGACTTGGGTTCTGAGGAAGACGATTTCTCCTAGAAATTAAAGCGACTCGACTAGAGATAAGCCGCCTGGAAAGTGAATGCGCCCCAAACCTAGGATTCGCCACCTGGGTCACTTCTGAGATTCCATAGTTTAAAGAAGCCTAACAGATTTTTTTAAATCTCTATTTTTAATAAGATGAGGACCTTATGGCTCCCTTCTCCTAAAAACCTATAAAAGGATGCTGTTCCTCTGTCGACTGTGAAAACAAAGTACCAAATGCTTCCCCCAGCTGTCACTTAAGTGGCTGTAAATGGGCATCCCCTGCTGTATTATTACAATTTTGGAGAATTCCTACTCCGCAATAACAAATTGTAAGTGCAAGCAGTCATGTACAATTGGCCTAGTATTCTGTGAATTAAAAGAAGTACACTAAATGAAGGACTGTGTTTTATTTCGTGAACACAAATTGCTCATTTGTTCATTCTGCAAACAAATGCTTAGTGCTTTCTACCTGGTGAGCTAATGAATATGATCTTTTTTTATTTGTTTGTTTTGAAGATTTAATTGAAGGGCAGAATAAGATCTTCCATCTGCTGGTTCACTCCCCAAATGGCCACAGTGGCTGGGCTAGATGGTCAGATGGCTCCTACTGGTCTCCCAGGCACGTTAGCAGAGAGCTGGATCCTAAGCCTAGCAGCCAACTCAAATTAGGCAGCACCAGCCATTGACTGTCTTGATCTGAAAATAAAAGATCAACACCAGCTGAAAGCTTGTTGAAAGTGCCTGAATATGTAGTTTATAGCTCCTTAAATGCAGTTCTGGTATTTGCAGTTTTGGTATTTGACTACATTGTAAGCCATTGGTTAACTACGCATTAAACTGTGTAGTAAAACACTTTTTTTATGCCTTGAATCTGTGTAACTGAAGAGCTTAGTAATTATTGCTAAAAATCCCTCTGAAATCTCCAATTTAACCAACTTATAGCATTTGCTAAGTCAACATTTGTTAGGGGTTATGAAATAACTTTCTGACTAGTACATATATTTTTCATGTTTTCTGAGTAAAGTGAGAATAAAGATATCCATGCTTGCTAATTGTTTTTACAGGAATACTTAATGGAAAATGGAATTAAAAATAAGTTTTGGCCGGCGCCGTGGCTCAATAGGCTAATCCTCTGCCTGCAGTGCCGGCACCCCAGGTTCTAGTCCCGGTTGGGGTGCTAGATTCTGTCCCGGTTGCTCCTCTTCCAGTCCAGCTCTCTGCTGTGGCCCGGGAGTGCAGTGGAGGATGGCCCAAGTGCTTGGGCCCTGCACCCCATGGGAGACCAGGAGAAGCACCTGGCTCCTGGCTTCGGATCAGCGCAGTGCGCCGGCCACAGCAGCCATTGAGGGGTGAACCAACGGCAAAAGGAAGACCTTCCGTGGCTCAATAGGCTAATCCTCCACCTTGCGGCGCCGGCACACCGGGTTCTAGTCCCGGTTGGGGCGCCGGATTCTGTCCCGGTTGCCCCTCTTCCAGGCCAGCTCTCTGCTATGGCCAGGGAGTGCAGTGGAGGATGGCCCAGGTGCTTGGGCCCTGCACCCCATGGGAGACCAGGAAAAGCACCTGGCTCCTGGCTCCTGCCAGGATCAGCGCGGTGCGCCGGCTGCAGCGGCGGCCATTGGAGGGTGAACCAGCAGCAAAAGGAAGACCTTTCTCTCTGTCTCTCTCTCTCACTGTCCACTCTGCCTGTCAAAAATAAATAAATAAATAAATAAGTTTAGAGGTAGGCACTTAGCAGTTAAGAGTTGAGACACTTTCCTCCCCTCTCAGAGCCCCTTGGTTTGAGTCCCCACTCCAGCTCCTGACCCCAGCTTCCTGCTAATACAGAACCTAAAGAACTGCCTCCCTGCTTCAACGCACAGACCCAGCTTTCAAGAGCATTTGAAGAGTGAACGAGATGGGAGAGCTCTCAACTCTCTCTGCCTCTCAAATTAGTAAATAAAAATCCACATGACAAGCTTATTGGTGCAAAAAGTTTTGGAATCTATGCATAGTTTTCTCATGGTGTGCATTTTCCATGAACTTGTTGAAAACCCCTATATGTGTGGATTCAAGAAATATATTTTTTAAAACAAAGTATTCCTTTTTTAAAAAAGATTTTATTTATTTGAGAGGCAAAGAGAGGGAGAGATGGAGAAAGAGGTCTTGCGTCTGCTGGTTCTCTCCCCAAATGGCTGCAATGGTCGGAGCTGGGCTGATCAGGAGCCAGGAGCTTCTTCCAGTTCTCCCACATGGGTGCAGGGGCCCAAACACTTGGGCCATCTTCCTCTGCTCTCCCATAGCAGAGAGCTGGATTGGAAGAGGAGCAGCTGAGACTCAAATCCCATATGAGCCATAAGGGATGCCAGTTCCGCAGGTGGAGGCTTAGCTCACTATACCACAGCACCGGCCCCAAAATATTTTCTTCCATCAAAATATCTTTTAATTTCAGTTTCCATGAACTTTTGAATTAACCTTTATAGTTGGAAAAAGTAAAAAGTGGGAGTTCTTCAAGAGAAAGAACGTTACACGAGTCATTGGAACACTTGCTATGTCACATTATGGCATCCTTTCATGTGTAAGGCAACAATGCCAAACTGCTAAATCTGTATATTATTCAACAAAATATCTTCCACCACCTGATACCATGGCAACCCATTCTTCCTTGATTGTCTTGGAAGTGGGCACAAAAACACTTTCATTTTGTGACATGAAAAATTACTGAAAATGCACACCTATTTGGTAGAACATAAAATTCACCTTTGTGAGTCTATAAACAGTTGAGAAAAAAGTTTTATAAATGGTGCAGATGTTTTATTTCCCTATAATGAATTTCATTCCAATTTTAAGATATTTTAGAAGATATAAAATAAACATAATTAAGTCCAAATGTAAGATACATAGTTGTCAAAAAGGCAAACAAAATACTCAAAACCAAGCTCATCATGTTCTAGGAACAGTCGTGCCTGCAGTGCTCTCTACTGCGGATATTTCCATCCGTGTAGTACACAGCAATTTTATGTCCTCTCGAGTTCCTCTTTCTCATCGCCTGGTTTACTTAGTAATCCCAATGCCCATTTGGCTGCAAGACTAGCATGGACCAATCTGTTGGAGGAAATCTTTTAAATCATTCTTGGGCACAGTAACTCCAAAAGCCAAAGTGTAGTGGGCTACTTCCATATTCATCTTCTTGAGCTATTCATAAATGTATCCACCCAAACTTCTTTCCTGTAGAGGACTGTCCTCAGATTCTCCCTCTGCTGGCTTTCATTTTTGTCACCTTCTGGTCACTCCCTTTACTCATTGATTTTTTTTTTTTTTTTTTTTTTTTTGACAGGCAGAGTGGACAGTGAGAGAGAGAGACAGAGAGAAAGGTTTTCCTTTGCCGTTGGTTCACCCTACAATGGCTGCTGCAGCCGGCGCACTGTGCTGATCCGATGGCAGGAGCCAGGATCCAGGTGCTTTTCCTGGTCTCCCATGGGGTGCAGGGCCCAAGCACTTGGACCATCCTCCACTGCACTCCCGGGCCACAGCAGAGAGCTGGCCTGGAAGAGGGGCAACCAGGACAGAATCCGGTGCCCCAACCCGGACTAGAACCCGGGATGCCAGCGCCGCAAGGCGGAGGATTAGCCTAGAGAGCCGCGGTGCCGGCCGTCATTGATGGTTTTAGCACCCAGATCCACCATGATTCTTGTTCATTATTCCTGACTGACATCTTTAACTTGCATACAGATGACTTAATACCCAGTTTCTAAATTATTTTGTTAGCTCCAGCTGTCTTTTTTTCCATTTCAATGATCAAATCATATGTTATATCCAAAGTGTTATCACTATTGACCAACCACATGCAAACATCTGATTTCGCATGTCCTGTTCTCTGACATAAATCTCTCCTTAACACTCCTGCAATCCTGACCTCTTCCGGTCTACCAGTCATATACTGTTCACTAATCATTCTTTTCCTTAGTCTTATTTCCTTTCTTGTCTGGTTTAGAGTTCACAAGCAACACTATCACTACATGCCTGTAAACAACCACAAGTGTTTGCTCCTTTCTTCGGTGGTACTTGCCTGGAATAATCCCAACACTGGTAGAACTGTGCCGACATGATGATTCTGATTTATGACCACATTTCTCAGGTTAGCATTCAACACAAGTATCTTATTACACTTTCCCAGTTATATTCCCATTTCCCAGGGTCACTAAGTTATATCCCTTCTTTGAAATCTTGACTTTAATTTTTCCTCATCACACATTACGCAGACACAGATGAGAGCTATTACATTTTTCCTGCCACCCAAAATGCTAACCTACTTGTGTTCAACCTCATATTTCGATCTCCTTTCCTAATACATTTGATGGACCTTTCTTGGTCTTGGGTCTTACTCCAGCTACCATTGAATTCCTCTGTTCCCATTTATACCACAACACTCTAAAGTGTTCCTATTCTGTTGATGAATTATCCCAACCCAAGTTGTTGAGAATTTCCCCAATAATTCATTGCAATGCCTTTTTAAGCAAATTAAAATAATATAATTATTGCCAAAATTAAATGTCTTGATCATATTAGGATTTTTGCTGCGTTTCACATAAGTGACCCATCCCCTATTATTTTTGACGAAATAATATCTTTTTGTGGCTGGTGCTGTGGCATAGAAGATTAAGCCTCCACCTGTGGTATCAGCATCTGATATGGGTACCAGTTCAGGTCCCAGGTGCTCCGCTTGCAATCCAGCTCTCTGCTAATGCACCTGGAAAAGCAACAGAGGACGGCCCAGGTGATTGGGCCCATGCACCCATGTGGGAGACCTGGAAGAAGCTCCTGGTTCCTGATTTCAGCCTGCTGAGCCCTGGCTGTTGTGGCCATTTGAGGAGTGAACCAGAAGATCTCTCTGTTCCTCTCTCTCTCTCTCTGCCTCTGGCTCTCCTTCTCTGTAACTCTTTCAAATAACAAAAAATATTTTAAAAATAAAAAATAGTATATTTTTGACCCCTTGAACCTGTCAGTGCCCTTATATTTAAAATGTCTCTCTCTCTCTTTTTTTAAAGGAATAGCAGTTATTTATTTATTTATTTGATAGGTAAAGTTATTGACAGTGAGAGAGAGACAGAGAGAAAGGTCTTCCTTCCATTGGTTCACTCCCCAAATGGCCACTACGGACAGCGCTGTGCCGATCCGAAGCCAGGAGCCAGCTGCTTCCTCCTGGTCTCCCATGCGGGTGCAGGAGCCCAAGCACCTGGGCCATCCTCCACTGCCTTC